ATAATAAATGATCTGTGGAGTATTTTGAGCTGAAACTTCACAGACACATTCTGGGGACACTAGAGACTTATATTACATATTGTAAAAAGGGGCATAATATGTCTCCTTTAATTCAAGTTTGTGCATGCAAACTTCTACTTCTGTTATAGGTGAGCTACACATTCACAGATTACGGTCCGGGCCTCCGCTTCATCTCTTTTGAACATGGCGGTCAAGACACCAAGTATTGGCAGGGCTGGTTTGGAGTGAGAGTGACTGGAAGCTCAGTTACCATGGACTTCTGAACACCAATCAGACAAAAATATGATTGATTAAAAAGGACCAGAAGAATTTTTTCCTTAACGACCCACACAAATCAGCTGTAAGCCAGATGAAGTGGATATCGTCCTCTTTTGGAAGACCAAACAAAGTAGTTTCGTTTTCACAACAAAGCACACAGTGTCTTCACGACATGGCTGCAGCGTCAAAAAAACTACAGTGATAATAAAAGTTACGCCTTCTTTCTTTGCGTGAACTTTTAATGTCTTTAAAAAAAATCTTACTGACCGCAAACTTGAATGGTAGTGTATTTACTGGCCCTTCTATCAGTGTATACTGACTGTGGGATGCAGGAAAATAAGGCTCAGAGAAGGAAATCATTTTATATTTTTTAATAGATGATTTTTAATAACCAAATTTCAATCAAAAACCTAAATTGTTAAAAACCGATTGTGTCAAAAGAACATTAACTATCATTAAAGTATGTCATATGTCACAAATAAATTAATCATAACCCAAAAGAGTGACAACTGTATCTTATTTTTCCTTCAGTCAACAGGTCACAAATTGTCTAAAATAGCTTTGTGCAATCATACATAATGTTCAGGACAATAAACATTGTGTATAATATAAAACATCACAGTTAACAATGACAGTAAAAATGAAACCATCAGATGTTTAACATCCTATAGAGTGAATGAATGTCTTTTCACAGGGCGGTTTCTCTGATAAATATGATGTACTATGATATTTTTGGTTTTGTACATACTGACCGCCGTTTGCGATGTGATTGTACACTCAGATTCAAGTAGTGTGTGTGTGTGTGTATCAATCTCCAACAAATACAGTGAGGTAGATATGTGGGGGCGTGTTAGAACGAGCCGTTTTAGGTAGGTGTGGCTGACTCTGAACTTTGATAAAGAATATCTCTTTGGATTTGAGACTTTAGTCTTTGCAACTTTACAGATCTTTTTTATGCACCACGAGCTTGTAACACTCCAAAGAGAAAGGAAAAATTGAAATCGCATCATATGACCCTTTTAATGTCTTTAAAAAAAATCTTACTGACCGCAAACTTGAATGGTAGTGTATTTACTGGCCCTTCTATCAGTGTATACTGACTGTGGGATGCAGGAAAATAAGGCTCAGAGAAGGAAATCATTTTATATTTTTTAATAGATGATTTTTAATAACCAAATTTCAATCAAAAACCTAAACTGTTAAAAACCGATTGTGTCAAAAGAACATTAACTATCATTAAAGTATGTCATATGTCAAAAATAAATTAATCATAACCCAAAAGAGTGACAACTGTATCTTATTTTTCCTTCAGTCAACAGGTCACAAATTGTCTAAAATAGCTTTGTGCACTCATACATAATGTTCAGGACAATAAACATTGTGTATAATATAAAACATCACAGTTAACAATGACAGTAAAAATGAAACCATCAGATGTTTAACATCCTATAGAGTGAATGAATGTCTTTTCACAGGGCGGTTTCTCTGATAAATATGATGTACTATGATATTTTTGGTTTTGTACATACTGACCGCCGTTTGCGATGTGATTGTACACTCAGATTCAAGTAGTGTGTGTGTGTATCAATCTCCAACAAATACATTTTGGTTTACATGTCAGGAGAGGAAAGGGGTGATTATCAAATGGTTTACAATAATACAAAAATATGAGTAACATCATAATGTAACCCTAACCTGTGTATATTTGCCCTGACATGAGTTTTTCTCATTCGGCTTGTGACTGCATTAACATCCTATAGAGTGAATGAATGTCTTTTCACAGGGCGGTTTCTCTGATAAATATGATGTACTATGATATTTTTGGTTTTGTACATACTGACCGCCGTTTGCGATGTGATTGTACACTCAGATTCAAGTAGTGTGTGTGTGTGTGTATCAATCTCCAACAAATACATTTTGGTTTACATGTCAGGAGAGGAAAGGGGTGATTATCAAATGGTTTACAATAATACAAAAATATGAGTAACATCATAATGTAACCCTAACCTGTGTATATTTGCCCTGACATGAGTTTTTCTCATTCGGCTTGTGACTGCAACTGCTTGCAGAAGGCCTCAAACTGCTGCTGTTCAAGTTCAGTCATGACTTTGTTCAGGGCGTAAATCTGTAACACACCAGAAACAGAGAACAAACAAACTGAGATGAATTGATCTGAAACGAGCAATTAGAATTTTAAATGGAAATAAACAAAAACAGTTTAAGAATTTGAAATGTTAAAGTCATTAAATGCAAGTAAATGAATGATTGATTATATGAATTTGCACTGAAGGTTCCAATGAACCACAAGATAATACTAAAACTTAATAATTAAGAGTTTTGAATGTTTTTTTAAAGACTCTTCTCTGCTCACAAAGGCTGTATTAATTAAAAAGTAAAAACTGTAATATTGTGAAATATGTTTAATTGTTTATTAACTGCAGTATTCAACATTGATAATAATCAGAAATGTTTCTTGAGCAGCAAATCAGCATATTAGAATGATTTCTGAAGGATCATGTGACACTGAAGACTGGAGTAACGATGCTGAAACTTCAGCTTTGCATCACAGGAATAAATTACATTTTCAAATACCGTATATTAAACAGTTCTTTTAAACTTAAATAACATTTCACAGATATGACTATTTTGACCAAATAAATTAATTATTAAAAACGCTTGACCAGTAGCGTTGTCACAAACGGTTGTGGCTAGAAGGGATACAGCTCAGACCGGAAACGAACAATGAAATTAATTTTCTACCTATTAGATTGTGTTTTATTAACATCTACACCTACCCCAACCTACCCCTTTTAAAAAAAATAGTAATTATTGTTGTACAGTGTGACAAAAATTACGCTGTATTGATGTGCGCATGCCCAGTAGCACCATACGTATCCCTTCTAGCCTTAACCGTCATAAACTGCAGGGTGACAAAAATCCAAATGGGACACAGGTGCAAACAATGAGTACTAATGAGACCGGGCAGAGGATTATGGGGAATGAAGTCCTTGATAGAGTGGCAGTAGACTGGGATGGAGTGCCCTCTGGTGGATATCAAGGGCACTCCAGCTGGTGATCGTGTTAATTGTTCAAATAATAATGTTCAAATAATTTGTTCATTGTTTAAATAAACAAATTTTCACTCAGACTGTAGTAATAATAGCTGTTGCAAAATAGAAGAAATGGAAGCATATTCGTTTTAAATAGTAGTGAATTACACAACTGAATTACCATCTTCTTTTGGTTACCATCATGGTAGTGTCCAAATAACCATGGTATTACATAGTTTGGTAATACTATATGTTTTCAGAAGGATTTTCCTTCAAATCTTTCTAAATGTATAATCAGTACAGAGAGTGACCTCTGCTCTTTGTCTCTGCTTCAGCTCCTGCTGGGCTGATTTCTGTTTGGTTCTGTCTCCACGGGTAGGTGTTTGCTGCTTCTGTTTGTCTTTTCGACATGCTGGCTCCATTTTAGAAACAGATTAGTCCAGATGATAATTTCACTGAAATAAAGAAATGAAGGTCAATAAAACACAGCAGGTTACTCAAGTCACAATTTTCAAGCAGCCAACAGTATACTGTAGATCAGGGGTTTTCAATATTTTAGATGCCACAGACCCCCAAATATAATGTTCCTCATATAAGGAACCCCCTATCCTAAAATTTAAAAAGCATTCATATAGTTTCTTGTATAAAGAGCCAATTTATACTGTGAAAAACTAATTTAATAAATGTATTATAAATATTTTTTTGGAAAATAGTTTAGAAAAAGATAGATTGTGCTAATTTATTACATTATTTTTTTCTACTAATTTTAGCACTGTACATGTAATATGTATTCACTAATTTATATATTTACAGGTGCATCTCAATAAATTAGAATGTCGTGGAAAAGTTCATTTATTTCAGTAATTCAACTCAAATTGTGAAACTCGTGTATTAAATAAATTCAATGCACACAGACTGAAGTAGTTTAAGTCTTTGGTTCTTTTAATTGTGATGATGTTGGCTCACATTTAACAAAAACCCACCAATTCACTATCTCAACAAATGAGAATATGGTGACATGCCAATCAGCTAATCAACTCAAAACACCTGCAAAGGTTTCCTGAGCCTTCAAAATGGCCTCTCAGTTTGGTTCACTAGGCTACACAATCATGGGGAAGACTGCTGATCAGACAGTTGTCCAGAAGACAATCATTGACACCCTTCACAAGGAGCCACAAACATTCATTGCCAAAGAAACTGGCTGTTCACAGAGTGCTGTATCCAAGCATGTTAACAGAAAGTTGAGTAGTTTCACAATTCGAGTTGAATTACTGAAATAAATGAACTTTTCCACGACATTCTAATTTATTGAGATGCACCTGTATACATTTTATTCATTTATTTCTATTATTTTAATCTTTTTCAGTTTCTATTGTATTTTAAAGGTATAGTTTTTTCTAATTTCCACGTTGTTGTAGTTTGAAAACAGCTGGTATAGATTATTAAATAACACCACATGTGTGTACTTCATTTTCGTTATTGTTTATTTCTGATTCATTCAGAAAAAAGGTATCTAACGTTAACTTCATTCAGAATACTAATCCATAGCTGGCAGTCTATTAGCATAGCAAGTAAGTCCTGTCGGAAATACCTACCCAGTATCACACTGCAAAGTCATTCTCTGTATACTATAAGAAATACACACAAAAAAGACAAGGAAATAAAATGGCTCCCTACTTTTACCTTTTGATTTCTAACGAAAACAACCAACAAAGACGAGGCTAGTACGGTTTAGCAGGCTCGTGGCGTCACTGATAAATACACCCGGACAGAAAACGGAGCCTGTGCTAGAAGGTTCCTATTAACGTTGCGTTCAAAACAGATCGGCGGGAATATATTTCAGTAACTAAAATGTTTTAATGCATGAGATCTGTTACCTTAACTTATATAACCTGCAAAAAAAAAAAAAAAAAACATTAAAGAAACTATTAGTTTCTTTATGACACTGTATCCTTCTCTAGGTACAATAAAGTATAAAATGTAGGCTATAAGCTTTTTGTAGCCAAGACTTCAAAGTTTGTGTTTGTAGCCTATATAACCTGACTTTTATTCACTGCAAAATGTGTGACAACTAGCCCCGGCCTCCCTTATTAGTGATATGAATTTATAAAGCGCTGCATAAATGCATAAAAATTTTACAAAATATAAACGAATGTAATTATATTGTTTCACGCATTTCTTGCTTGCAAAACTAAAGACAACCACAAGAGGTCGCTCTTTTACAGCTATTGAAAGTTGAGAGACCTATTGCTGTTTTTGCTAACACTTGATTTATCTCATTTCACGCATTTATGTGCATTCATTTATCTGAAAATTGTTTACTGTGAGTATAAAATTAAATTAAGCAGAGGCTATTTTTTTATTCGGTAACAACTGGACAGACTGAGTTACTTCAGTACCTAGAGACCAAAATTTCACTTAGGCGATATTTTACATACCAGCCCCGAAGGCGATAAATCATTCAGAAATAGTAATAAAAACATTTCACTCTAGTTTTTTTTACCTCCCCGCCACTTTGTAATTTTAATGTATTCCAGTGTTTCTATTAAATTACGTGCATGACATAATTCAAAAAAGAACAAACTGAGTTTTTAAGGCCTGTCACAAATGCTGCACTGGATGACGACAACACTCATATGTCACCAGAATGACAGAAAACTGTATGTGGAGTTAAGAAGGAATCAGATTGTGGAGTTAAGAAGGAATCAGATTGTCAGACACAATTGGACCACCTAGGAAAAAACTGCAAAAAGCTCTCGGCGAAGGCCGACAGATAATCATTAAGCCTACGTAAATATTGGTTAATCCGATAGCTACCTGGCAGTGTCTGATGAGACATAAAAATGTCAAAGAGACTCTAAACTATCCCGTTTGGATTGTGATCGTTAGGGAGTCGTATAGCCTAATTGTAAAAATGCCCCAAAACAAGACATGTGTCTGTGTCAATCGCTATGTTTCCATCCACCTAGCTTTATGCGCATTTTGGAATTTTGCACAAAAAACTCTGGATGGAAACGCCAAGATGCACTTAAATTCTAAAATATATGCATAAAAACACGTATGCGCACAAACTTTTTATCCGATATGAAAAAATGCGCATAAACTAAAATGGAAACACATTTACCGAATAAAACCCTCCATGTGCATCAAAAAGGTCATGTGAGTTTGCGGATACCTGGACTAATCTCGTTGCACAGCATCTGAAATGTTATTATGGTCTTTCTTAAATGCCTGAGTGTAACGGAGGCCAGCAGTAGGTGCTGTGCAGGTAAACGACTGACGCTAGTGGCTGCAGTCTTTAGCCTCCTTGTTAGTGCGTCCGCCTCCCGTGCCGGAGACCCACTCGGAGCGAGAACGAGGCGTGGCGGAGAGGACCCGGGGAAGAGGGGTTACTTTGGTGCCGTGACCTGGATGGGAGTGAGGTTTAGGGGGGTGAGTGTAACGGAGGCCAGCGGTGGGTGCTGTGCAGGTAACCCTCACTCCCCTGATCTCAAGAGACACAGTAGCGACTGATGCTAGTGGCTGCAGTCTTTAGCCTCCTTGTTAGTGCGTCCGCCTCCCGTGCCGGAGACCCACTCGGAGCGAGAACGAGGCGTGGCGGAGAGGACCCGGGGGAGAGGGGTTACTTTGGTGCCGTGACCTGGATGGGAGTGAGGTTTAGGGGGGTGAGTGTAACGGAGGCCAGCGGTGGGTGCTGTGCAGGTAAACCTCACTCCCCTGATCTCAAGAGACACAGTAGCGACTGATGCTAGTGGCTGCAGTCTTTAGCCTCCTTGTTAGTGCGTCCGCCTCCCATGCCGGAGACCCACTCGGAGCGAGAACGAGGTGTAGCGGAGAGGACCCGGGGGAGAGGGGTTACATGAGCAAAGCCTGACGTCAAAGTATTTCTGTATAACTGCCTCCCAGAACTGTCTTCCACAACTGTGTTCCCAAACAGCAGCATCCACCTCCGAAAGCAATGACCGCATTTATTGTGTTTCGTCTGCTCGCTCTGAGGCGCAAGTCATTTATTATATATGAAAATTATTATAGCCTATTTAGAGGCTTCTCCTACTTTTCTTAGTGATATTTAGTGCCAGTGTATCAGGAAGTGGAGATTTTGTTCTCGTTGGATGCAAAGGGTGCTTAATTCGCAAATGTTTTATGCGATAGCCTATTCCAATTTTGCGCGTAAGTTAAATTCGCGACTTTGGTGGGTTTACTTCAGTTTGACTTTAGCTGATGCTGTACTTTTACGAACCCTCACTTGACACTCATATAGCTGTCCTCATGTTTATGCCCTTTGGCACCGCGCTGTGCCACATGAAATTTATCATGGCACATTCCGATGTGTTTTCCTGGATTCTTTCCCCAACACAGGAGAGCACTTGCTCTGTAATAATATCCAAGGAAGAACAACTGATCCTAAATGCAACAGACCCCCTCCGACAGATTTTCCACTCAGTCTTAACCCGACCTTTAGCGCCCTAGCAAAAGCTGGCATGCGCGAGGGAGTTCCCGTGAGCCACTGCCACAGTCTGCGGAAAGCCAGCCTGAACAAACTGAATGTGGTGGGTCGGGAGGTGCCGTGAGCCTGTGACGGCAGACTGTTGTCAGATGCATAAGAGGAGCTTTGCCCACTGCTCTTGACTGTGTGTTCTTCCCTATTACCAGCACACCTCATTGCCTGGAGCTGTAATTCAACGTGATTTGTCTGTTATCGAGATGTCCTTTCACTCCAGAGCACAGTTCATCAGTCAGATGCATGATGGGATTACATCTAGAGAGGTAATGAGTCAAGAGATCAGTGGAAAGCAGCTTGTACAGGCCTACATGTAGGGATTTGCTGGCAGGCTGTAACCCTAGGCCCTATTTGAAATCGTGTAAATGGCACAAATAAATAAATCAAACAAAGATACAAATGAAACAAAGTTTTTTAAAGTTTGTAGGTGTTCAAGTACAGAAACAGAATAATCAAATGTAAAATAGCATTGCATAGTGTTCACTGTATAAATTAAATATAGAATTATTCTTGTTAAAACTACAACGTTATTCAGTTTAGAGCAGTGAGTGATTTTCTCTTTAACGTTAACATTAAGGACAGCGACAGCAGCTGGTAAATTAGTCACGGTCACTTTAAGACACACATACACATCAGATTTCTCTCAACTGTTTACGTTCACTTAAGACATAACCAACTGTTTTTGGAGTATACTTGCCAAGACAGGCATTTCTACATAATTTTGTAAGTATTTGTCCGTTCAAGCGCAAGAAGAGGCAAAATTCAGTTCGGTGTTCACGTGTCTGAGACGCGGCTCTCTGTGTGTGACACGGCACGCGAGTAGGCTACTCAGTTGAGTCCTTTCGCATCTAGTGTTTGAATGCTTTAAAATCTCTTGAATGTTTTAACTGGAAAGGCTTAAAAACAAGTGCAAATGATAAGCTTTCATGACGACGCGCAGCAGTGAGCATCTTTCATGCTGGCCTCGGGCAGTCGGTGAAAACGCCGGAGGCCCCACCACAGCCGTGGGCCCCTATTATCGTCAGCACCTTTCACCCCACTAACGACGGCCCTGCCTACAGGGTATAATTTGAAACTGTTGCGATCTAAACACTATAGGTCTACAGCTTTTGTACACTGCGAAAGTTTGGACAAACTTTACACTTTTTTTATTATCTAAAGGCTTATCTAATGCATACTTTTACATTTGATCTCATTTTAAAATGAAAAATATGTTTTAAAATTAATTGACATTAGAAATACTTCATTTTAAATTTGTATTTAAGTTTATAAACGTTTATATATATTTAATTTAATATTTATATACTATATACATGCATGTGTAAAGGTTTATGCGCAATACATAAATAATAAATGTTAAATTTTTTTTAAATTTGTGCATTTAACTTTGTACATTTATTTGAGCATAAGCCTTTAGATAAAACAATTAAAATAAATATTTAAAATAAATATAAATATATTACAAATATTTAAAATGACTAAAGAAATTAAATATAAAAAAATGAATATTTTTTTTAAAAATATATACATTTTTACAATTTGTACATTTGATCTAATTGTTAAAATATATTACAAATATTTATTCACTTTAAATGGTTTTGTAGTTTTTAATATTAAACTTTTAAATATTGGTTTTAATTCAAATAATTGTAAATACTTTGTAATTTATGTTTTTTTTTATTAATTTTTTTAATAATTGATTGTCTAAATAGATGATTTAGACAATATAGTGAAGAAGCATCAACAACAACTGTGTATACATGTGAACTCCTTCAAAAGTGTTTTAAAAGAGCATCCCAGGATGCACCTCATGAAGTTCTTATACCAAATGCATAAGAGAATTGACAAAGAAGCCCAAATATAAGAAAGCTTGCATTTATTAAAATACTTCCATTCATTTATTAGATTTGATGACATCACTATTATCCAAAAAGTGTAACATTAATAATAAAGATTCAGTAGGTGTGTCTGAACTTTAAACAGGTATATATAGTCTGTTTAAGCTCTAGAACAGAACAGAAAAGACCCCCTTATACAGAAAGTCTGGAACACCCACCACGGCTGTCAACAATTTAAATACAGATGAGCAACTCAAGTTAAAAATAAAGAGGAAAGGAAGCAGCTTTTAATAAACTTTTCATTTTGCTTTCACTTACACATAAGACCTTAGCCACAGCAGCATCCAGCGCTGGCTCGAAAACCTCTGCGGCCTGCCAAAGAAACGTAGCACCACATTGAACTTTTCAGCACTAAAAATAACCTCCAGAATGAATGATGCCC